ATTTCTCCCTTCCCCCCCCCACTGTCCCCTTCTTTTCTCTGCTCAGCCCTGACACCCTCCTCTGCCACTCCCGCTATTCCCATGGCAGCTCTGTGACTCCTTTCCAGGCTCCTGATATCCTTGCTTCTGCTACTAATAAAAGTGATTATTTTAGAGGAGGAACCCAGAGATTTCAGCCAACATTTTCTGCTCCTTTGGCCTGTATCTAGCATTCCCAGGTGGACACGGTATTTTCATGCTGCTGTGTGCTTCTATTTCATGGGCAGGTGGTAATCACCCAAAAGCTCATTCTCCTGAAGGCCATACAGGCTGTCTGGTTTCTGAACTCCTGGTCATCTCCATCCTGGTGCAGCACCTCACTGGGGGTCTGCCCCTGCTGGCACAGCCCAGCTCTGGCTCTTCTTGTCTCACAGCCATCATCTCTCAGCCATCGTGATTATCTCAAGGCTCAGAAGCAGCTGTGATGGGCCACATAAACCTCACGGCTCACTGCCAGTGACTTTGCTCTCTTGGTGATGGTCTCTGTCTGTGCCTGGCAAGATAAGTATGTCTGTGTGCACATTTCTGATTCAAAAACATGCAGGGCAGGTCTCTTCTATTAATTACTCTATAAGCCTTGGAGCAAAAGCCAAAGGTTTTTGTATCAGGGGAGCAGGATGGATCCAGCTCTTGCTGCTCCCCAAGGAGGGGCTGATGCAGCACTCTGGTAACAAGCTCAGCCCCAAGCAGGACGCTGCAGTGAGCCAACCAGCAGCCTGTCCCATGGGCCAAGCAGGGCTTCTGCAGTCCTGGCTGCTGCTCTGGGTGCTTTCTGCAAGCAGATTTTGTTCCTTATCCCTCTGGGTTCATTGCAGGATCTCTTAGGAGTTGTCCCAGGGATGTCCCCAAACACCCTGCAGGCTCTGAGGTTGGAGGACAGCTGCTCTGCTCACCTCCCCAGTTCCTTCGCAGACTTGCCGGGTGGTGGGTGGCCATTCTGCTCTGCCTGGGAATGGTGTAGGATAGCTCTTCCCCTAAACTGATGCTCTCACGTGAAGATAACAAACAGCCTGGAAGAAGTGAAATCCAGCCTCTGTAGGCTAGTCTATCAATTAATCACTAATGACTTCTCTGTATTTAATTTGTCTGATTAATTCTGATGCTAACTCCCTCTATCTCCTCCTAATTTTCCCCCAGTCTTTTGCTTTGGACCTTGCAGATCTCCCATGAAATACCTATGCGTTTTAGCCTGGCACAGATCACCTGAGAACAAATGCAAACCTGTTTATTCTACAGATTTTTAGCTAGAGAGCCTCCAGGCCCTCCCTTGCACTGCCCACCATGCCAGTGTCTGGCTGGTGAGCCAGGACTTGCAAGTCTGGTTTGCAAGCCACCTGCCTTGTGCCTCCTTACCCTTCTTTCTAAGGAGCAAGTGAAAATGAGGGGATTTTGTTACTTCCTTTGCATGGTGCAGCATGTGGGGCCATGATGAACCCCCAAATCCCTGGGGTGTGTTCCTCTGCCTGGATGGTCCTTCTTGGGTTGTGTTTGCGAGCTCGGCTGCATGGGCTCCCTGCTGGCACTAGCCCTGGGCTACAGCAGCAAGGCAGTGGGCTCAGGGTCTCATGCAGCACGTCAAGAGGGTGCAGCGGGGCTGATTTTCCCTCTTCACTTTGGAAGCTGTTATTTGTTGTTGTTGGCAATCTCAGCACCAAAAAGCAGAGGTAAAAGGACTTACATAGTGAAAGAAAATAGTAAACATTTTCTTTTTCAATAACCCTTCTTCAGGTATTTCCCTCTGCTGTAAAAGCTGCATCTCAATGGGATGCTGTTGTGCCATTACACCATCTAAGCTGTTTTCCAGAGAGTTTTCCGTAACTGCTGTCAGCTCCAGTGACGGATCTGCAGGGAAGGGCTCCTCAGCTGGGCCCAGGTTCCTGTCCTCTGCCACCTCCTGCCAACCCAGTACTCCCCAGTGCTCTCCACTGCATCTCCATTTGGGTCAGCAGATGCAGGAAAGAGGAGCTGGTCCTGGTGGGAGATGGAGGGGATCACACGAATACAAAGAAATTGCACTATACTCTACAAAAGTTGATCTTGGTAAGTTTCCATGGGTTGTTATAGGCAGATAACCAGAACACTGCCATCCAGGAGAGTGCCATCTGTCTGCCAGCAGCGCTGTCTGGCTTGATTAGTTTTTCTCATTCAGTCCTGGGGTCCAGCAGTGCTTATCTGCACAGGGAAGTTAATTTGGTATAAGATAAAGATCAGCTGAAACCACAGTAGCTCTTCCAGAATAACCACACAGATTAAACTAAGTAGGAGCAAGGCTGAGATTTGTCCCACCGTTTTTTGGCACCAAGAGTCAGTACCGAGAGGCTACATCCTGGAGGGTCCCTGAGTTCTCCTGTGTGCCAGGTCACCCTTTAGGAGTGCTTCTCTCTCACTTTGACTAAAGAAGAGCATATGATGTCTTAAATGTAGCGCCAATACTCATTTAATAAGATATTTGGAGGGGGACAACATACACCTATTCATGACTTGATGTGTTGTCTGAAGAGATGCTGTGAGCAGTTGACAGTGAATTCCTGGACACCTTCTGCCATGTAGGAATTGCACAGGGACTCTCGCTGTAGCTAAAAATAGCAATAATATCCATCCGAACCCAAACCTCATCCTGAGGCTTCTTTGAAGTTCTCTGTAGGTCTTTGACTCTTTTCCAGAAGGGAAACTCTTTTAAATTGCTAAGTTGCAAGAGTTACAGTCACACCTATAATGAGTGTTTGGCATGCCTTGCTGCTACCTTTGGTACAGATATTTTAAAAAACATCTAAGATTCAATCAAAAGGATGTCTTGTTCTCCCCAATCATGCTTTCCTTTCTTTAACTGAATCCAATTGTCTAGTTTGTTTGCTTGCCCCATATTTTTGAACTCTTTGGTTAGCATCAGCTTTAAAAGATTACTTAAAAACTTGTAAGCTGAGAGCTGTGAGGACTGAATCCTGCCTACTCATGGCCTCTTTGCCAATAAGCACTCTATTATTCACAGATGATGATACAGTAAATACAAGGGAAGCTGTACCATACCTCCTGTGAAAGGATTTTTCTGTTCAGGTGCTGTCATTTATATGGCATAGACTGGTGGGTTTGTGCCCATAAAGTTAATATTATTTTATTCAATTTATGGTCTCCACATGTGCCTGATTATGTGTCTGGGGGATTTCAGTTGAGCAGACTTCACGTGTTCCACTACTGAGTACACCTGGGTTTCTTTTGATCATTTTTTATGTTGCTGAGTTTCAACTTTTATATAACTGAGCTGCTCATAATCAAAGTCTTATTCTGCTCCTTACTACACAAATAAAGAGAGACTGTGGTGCTGGCCTCAGGGACTTGCAGGCTGGCACGGTGCAGAGGAACCTCCACACAGCAATTTTCGGGGAGAGACCCACAAATGCAAGTGCAATTAGATCAGAGATCAGGTGTAGCCTGGTGGTCTTGCCCCACCTACTCCTTAAGATGGATAAAACCCTGTAGATTTGCAGGCATCCCCATTAATTAACTTCTCAGTGAATGAAAAGGAATTTATTCTTGTTTTCCCTCCAGGGAATGTTTTCTTAGTTCTGCTTTCTGATCAGGATAAAGCTTTTGGGGGAGAGACAGCACAGTCATCGCGCAGGTATCTGTTCCCATGTGTCACCACGTTAGGAGAGCTTAGCAACCCGGCTGGATTGCCAGCCTGGGTTGCCAGGATTTTAGGCTGTGAGGTTTGTGGCTCCAGGGAGTGTCGGGTAGCATTGACGAAGCATTGTAGGATGGGAGTGTTCATTGTAAATGAGGACCAATATGAGTCAAGGCTATATATATTTTCCTAATTAGAGAAAGTTCTGTTTCCTTCCTTCACAGATAGTTTTCCAGCAGACTGCATGTCTCTGGCTGTAGGTGGGAAAGCAGTGCTAAAGTGCAAATTCCATGAGACTGATTTATTAGCTCTGTTGAATTACAGGAAGAGCTGAAAGAGCCAGAGCTGAGGAAAACCTGCAATCAGATTTCCCAACCAACTTACCGGACTTGGAAGAAGCAGATGGACACCTGATCTTTCAGACATGTGGCATGGCTGAATTTCCAAGCCTCTTAAGATGCCCCCTCCTTGCTATTATCCTCCTTCCTCTGTTCCTCTTTGGAAATGCATAAATCCATCATAGACCCAACCATGACTGTGTGTTAGATGCTGTTGGTAGAGGCACAGGAGGTCAGATCTTTGGGGGAGGCTCCCCAAAGTGTCCCTGTAGGACCACACTCAAGTCCACTGAGCAGCTGGTCTTTGCAGTACCAAATCACATCTTATTGCTGAAGTAGTTTCTGCTGGGAAGAAGCTGAATCAGGAGCCTCTGGTGACCCTGGGGGTCCTCCTGCAGGTAGGTTTTGTGCAGACCCCTGCCTGCCAGTGGGGCTGAGCTAGCCTGGGCCACCAGCAGTGCAGCAGTTAGAACAGGGACTGACTCTCCCTCCACACCCAGACCACAGCAGGGCTTTGTCAGGAGCCTCCATGCAACTCCATGGACACATCAGGGTTCAAAGCTAAAAGGGAAGCTTTAATTCCACTTTAAATTCATTGTGCAGGGTCTGATACCATTTGAGATAGATATGTATAATTGTTGCCTTGGATTATGTTTTCTTTGGAGTATTTTTTCAATACACAGTGTAATATTGTATCTCACAGCTCTTTGTGATGACCACAACCCCTGGAAGACCTAAAGTACTAATTTTTTTTTTTTTTTCTTGTCTGAATGAACTGATCTGAATCCACTGCAAGTGGAAAGCCCTCACTGCCTGCTCTGAGTGCTGGTGACAGAGGGGCAAATGAAAGCAGTGAACAAAATGGTCCACTTAATCATTTTCTAACACCTTGCAAATAAAACACCTTTATTGTTTCTATGGCAGATGCTTTCCACTTACAATGAATTGATGATGTCGAGTTGCTTTATATTTTCTCCCTCTTCTGTTCCCCCTGTTCACAGGCCAGATGATGTGATGCTGAAGCGCACCCATGATGAGACTGTCCTCTTGCACTGCTTCCTCTGGCCTCTGGTTACGTTCCTGGTTGGAGTCCTCATCGTGGTCCTGACCATCTGTGCCAAGAGCTTGGCTGTCAGGGCAGAGGCAATAAAAAAGAAGAAGCATTTGTAAACGGCAAGGCTGCTGATGGTTTTTTTTTTTTTTTTCTTGTCTGAATGAACTGATCTGAATCCACTGCAAGTGGAAAGCCCTCACTGCCTGCTCTGAGTGCTGGTGACAGAGGGGCAAATGAAAGCAGTGAACAAAATGGTCCACTTAATCATTTTCTAACACCTTGCAAATAAAACACCTTTATTGTTTCTATGGCAGATGCTTTCCACTTACAATGAATTGATGATGTCGAGTTGCTTTATATTTTCTCCCTCTTCTGTTCCCCCTGTTCACAGGCCAGATGATGTGATGCTGAAGCGCACCCATGATGAGACTGTCCTCTTGCACTGCTTCCTCTGGCCTCTGGTTACGTTCCTGGTTGGAGTCCTCATCGTGGTCCTGACCATCTGTGCCAAGAGCTTGGCTGTCAGGGCAGAGGCAATAAAAAAGAAGAAGCATTTGTAAACGGCAAGGCTGCTGATGGAAAAAAACAGCCTGAAAGAAGAGTCTCAAGTGGGGCAACTTGACACACCTGCAGGTCTGTGGGGCACCCAGCTGCACCTCCTTCCAGTATCTCATCTGATGGTGCAATTGCTCTTGCCTCAGGATTACTCTTGGGGGACTGCCCCATAAGATGTCAGCTAATTGCTTCTTCTGCTATGACAGTAAATAAGCATATTCTACCAAAAAAAAAAATAATCTGCACTGCACCAAATATCCTCTGCGCTGTTAGTTCCAAACAGCAGCTACCCAGGTCCTAGCGATATTGAGAGACAGTTTATAAAAACCCCTGATGTTACTCATTTCATCTCCACAAAGTGATCTTTACTATTGTTTAATACTAAGTATTTAAAATATTTACTTCATGATAGACTGTGTTTCCAACATAATAAAGTTCAATTGTTTGGGGGCTTTTTTTAATCTTTGTTTTGTTTGTGGTTTTTGTGTTGTTGGTTTGTTGTCTTTTTTTTTTTTTTTTTTAAAAGCATTAAGACAAAAATAACTGTGCTGATTTTGTTTTTTTTTTCACTGTGTAGAACTTAATTTTAAAACTCAAACTTTAACTTCTGTCCAGACAAAATCTTTCATCATCACCTGTTCATTGTGAAGAAATGTAGAAATCTCTCAGTGATACGCCTCCAAAGAATGAGACAGTTATTGGAAAAGGTAATTAAATACTGGATCTAATTTTATTGCCTCAGTGGTATTCAGTCCCTGCAGTTTTTCGTGTCCTCTCTCAGTTACCCTCTTCACCAAAATACTCTCTGGCTGTAAGGAGCAGGGATTTGGAGTGGTTTTACACGAATATATTTTACCAGCAATTTCCCCAAATAGTGGAATGCCTGAGTGCTTGCTGAGGGGAGCCTGTGAGCTGTGATATGACACAGGTCACTGGGCTCTGGGGATGGCTGGAGAAGGACATCAGCTCTTTGTAGGGCTGTGGGGATTTGCTGCTGAAGTGCCCATCCCAGTCACATCAGCTCCGTGCAGGGTGTCTCCAAGGGGGTGCTCCAGAAAACAAGGCAGGCTGGGCACAGCGTCTGGCTGGGTGGCCTCTCTTCTCATCCCAGCTCCTCACTGTGTACGACGAGAGTGCTGGCCCTAGTCTTCAACTAGCTCAGGTTGCTCAGAGCCTCGTCCAACCTGACCTTGAATGTTTCCAGGGATGGGGCGTTCACCACCTCCCTGGGCAACCTGCTCCAGAGTTCCATCCTAAAAAATTGGCCTTAGAGCACAGTTTCCCAGAGCATGCCCACTGCAAGCTGTATGTAGGGGGTAAGATCAGGGAAGCTTTGTGGCACCCATCCTCACCCCCACAGGGCAGTGCACCCCCGGGACCAGCTGTGCAGCTTGGCAGGGCTGGCACACAGCAGGGAAGAGCAGCCACGTGGCTCAGCCGGGAAAGTGAGTCTCTCAGCGTGTGATTACTGGCCAAGCATTTTAATCTACATTAACAATTCTGCAATTCTAACCATGCTGTTCATTGTACTAATCTCTGATATTCTTGGTATTATGTTTAAATACCTGGTGTTTTGTTGTGCTTTTAACACATAGGAGAGGTATTTCCCGAGAACGAGAAAAGTGCTAGATTTGAAAGCCTGAAAGCTTTGCTGGCACAAGGCACAGTGACAAACATGCTTGTATTGCCCAGTCTCTGCCTAAGATTAATTGTGTTGTGTGTTTATGAGTTGATTTCCATATAGCTTGGAAATTTGTACCCGTTGTGGGCCTTGTGGTGTCCAGTGATGAGGGTCATTCCCCACTCCTCTGTGTACCTGCTATATGACTTTTGGAGAGTCCTCTGGTCCCAGTCGGTGCTGGGATAGCTGCTCCTTCAGAGGAAGTTAAGTAAAACTGTTTGTGGAGGTGGGAACTTTATGCTTCTTGGCTAGTTACTCTGTATAAAAGTTCTGATTAATGTTGGTTGCACATGTTGAAGCACTTCCAGTTTTGTGGGTGAAAAATGCTGCTGGCATGGAAAAAACCCAATTCTTTCTGTTAAACCTCACCCCTTTGGAGGACCCTGTTGTCAAGCTCATACAGGTACCCTCTGTCTCAGCCCACTGAAAAGGACAGCACAGGATATATTGGATGAAGAGAGGTTGTGAGCTCTCAGCCTGTCAGATGAAAGCCTGATGACTTCTGGAAGTGCTGCCCTGCAAAGGACACAGCGTTTGGTTTCACTTGTGTCTCACTGCCGTGGTGTCCCTTGCATCCTCTGTGATTTTCTTGCCCTGGCAACCCACAGGAACATTGCATATGTGTGCCTGGGTTTGGGGGTGTTGATTACTATATATTTTTATACACATATATATAACTTTTTCCCACTCTGTAAATCATAGAAAGCTGCTGCTGTGGGGTGGTTTGGTTATCTGGGTAAGCTGCTGGCAAGTTCCCCTTATCTATTTCCTCTTGGTAACTTCTTACAGGTGAGGGGAATAACCCTGATTTTCTGCATGTGTATATCCTTTGTTTTCCTAAGGGAGAAGGAAATATGTGGTGACACAGATTCATCATGGATTTTTAAGCCAATGGTTTGGGGCTCACAAATCCAGATTAACAAAATCCTCTCCAGCTTTGGTCCAGAAGCTTTTGTGACTGAATTGTGCAGCTGGTTTGCTGACCAAAAGGCAAGAAGCGAATTGAGTTGATGCAGCTCACTTGATCAGCAATCATATCTTTAAATCTGCTAGAAATGCTGTTTGCAAAAGCCTTTGGAAGTAAGTAATGGTTACAAAGATGATATGAAATCATTTTGCAGAGAGATTAATATTCCAAGTTAAACATCTAAATGGGTGTGCAAAGACAGTACCTTCCTAGCTTGGTGATGTGTGATACTCGGGGGCGGGGGTATGTGTGCATGTGGAAATCCTAAAATTCACTCTTCTGTCCCAGCCTGCACCTTGCTGATTTAGAAATGTCTTTCTAATCCCCACAGTTGATCGTGGAAGCTGGGGATTTCCTTCTAGCGGATTATTCACTGATTTCCCCCTTGGCTTTGTGGATTTCCAGTTTTTTTGGCGTATTCTCTGAAGCATATTTGCAGTCAGAGCAACTGCTTTTTCCAGAGCCATCTGCAGAGCTGACTTTTGCATTTTATTCAATATTTATATGCTATTGCTTTGAGGAATTTTGTTCCATCATGCTGTTGACTGCTCCGCTAAGTAAGACCTGCCTTCTCTTTCATGTAGTGTAATTAAATAATTTTGTTTATACAGTGTCTTTCTCTGTTAGCTTCTTAGGCTCATGTTAAAAGTTGAAGTAGCATGAGCATTTTTTGGTGGCACTTTTCTTGCTCTGTGTGTTTCTGTGTTGCCAGTAGCAGACAAGACTTCACAACGCACTGGAATACTTAGCTACTGAATTAGGAACTTAATTCAATGCCAGGAGCAGATGAGGAATGTCATGGTGGTATCCAGGGGTATTTTAAAAAGCCATTTTTGGTGTAAATGTCACTCTTTGAGAGAGGTCCAGCACAGACTGCTGGATTTGAAGGGCTGTTATCACCGGAGTTCATTGATAAGAGCCCCAAGAAGCAAGCTGGGAGGCACGGTGGAGGGGTAGTGCAAGTCTGAGTTTCCAAACTCACAGTTCCAGGTGTGTTTTGAGGGATTTGTCCTAGATCAGAGCAACAATGTCTGTGAGGCACGAGAATGCAGAGCTCTCCATGAATTTACCACCTTGGCTCAGCGCTGGGGCTACCAGTTTCCTCAGCTGTTGTTCACCTCTGGGAGCCCTCTGTCCCTGAGCCAGGGCCACAGTGTCATCCCCACAGGACCAGGGATGTCTACAGAGGACCATCAGACCTCTCAGCTCATTTCACACCCTACATGAAAGGATCCGTCGAACATATGTTATCCCATCAGAGTCTGACTGGGGAATGTGAAAGGGAAAACACTGGTTAATGTTTAAAACCTTTTCAGAGATAAGGTGTAGGGGTTAAGTAACCTTGGGGAAGTGTCTAGGGGTTTGCTAAGGGTTTAGACCTTACTTGAAAAATTAAAACAATTTTAAATTGGCCAGTCGACACCTGTGTGGGTCTGATACGGTGGCAGGACAGTGTGGATTGCCTGTTAACAGAAAGAATGCACCATGCAAGCACCTTTGCTCAGCATTGCAAATATGGGAGCTGCCTGCTGAATCTGTGTTTCTGAAAACAGAATGGCCTAAATGGGCAAAAGTATCTTAAAGCCAGGAACAAACATGTGGAAGAGGAAGCACCTAAAAGAGTGTTTAATAAGAAAAGAAAAAACTCAAGCTATGGTTTATATTTTTAGGCAATCAGATGAAAGGAAGCACAGTAGAATTCTTAATTATGAAACCTATTGTATGATGTGAATATTTTCTTGCAGTCCCTGACAGAAATCCTATAGCTGGAGTTATCGAAAAATCAGCTTATTTCTGTGTGTGATTTCTCTGAGAATCAAAAGCTGTTTTTTTCTTTTTTTTTTCTTTTTTTTTTTTTTTTTTTTTTTTTTTCTTTTCTTTCCTCAGCATGGATCAGCTGCTATTCCTCCATTAACTTTCA